AGTGGATATTGGTTCTGTTCGAGCGGTCTTGAATGTTGGTGTGTAAAAGATAGAGTAACTTTTAGGTGTGAGTTAGCAGTTTGCTGCAGGTTGTATTTATTTGGTTTTGAATAAAATTTCTGGGCACTCTTTTCCCCCTTCCGCTGTTTGAGGATTAATCTCAGATTAATATTTGATTACGAAGGGGGTTTTTAATTAGGCCCCACCTTTTTTCAAAAAAAAAAAAAAAACTTACTTCCTGAAAATGTAACTAATTGATTAATTAAAGCTTCAGCTGCCAAAGTTATTAGTGGACCTTATTAGCTCACACTAAAGTAGATCACAAAAACATGAATGAAACTAGTTTCGACAATTATTTAAACAATTAATTAATGATTAACTAAATCAGATTGTAGACTTAACTTGGAAACTGTATGGAAGTATGATTGATTAGTGACTTTCCATCATAATTGATTAACTTGGGTAATCATATCATTGGAGAAACACATTGACGACCCTCCAATTATAAGGTAACTAGGACTTATCAATATCCTAGGCTTCCCCCTAGAGGTTATGGATTGTCTCACATCCTAATCTGACTCTCCTAGGATAACTGAACCTAAATAACTTGGAAACTAGTATGGAAGTATGATTGATTAGTGCTTTCCATCATAATTGATTAACTTGGATAATCATATCATTGGAGAAACACATTGACAACCCTCCAATTATAAGGTAACTAGGACTTATCGATATCCTAGGCTTCCCCCTAGAGGTTATGGATAGTCTCAGATCCTAATCTGACTCTCCTAGGATAACTGAACCTAAATTCTCACCGAAATCCCTTCCTAGAACTCAGTTTCTCATGCATCTTAGTTAACCTTATCCCTCTCAGTACTAAACCTGGAGACAATCCATTTCTAAATTCTGTAAATCTAAGGTGTTTGTTGTAATGGTGTATATCACCATAGGAGGATATTCCGTGTTTTCCTATGTATTGGGTATTATTATTAATAAACTATGATGTACTCTTTTCTTCCTTCCAATGTTCGTTAACATACTTCTTAGTATGTGAACGAATACGAAGGGAGTTTTTAATGAGACCTCCAACTTCTATATATAAAAAAAAATCTGTAAATCAGCTAACTCCCTAATTTGATGTAAAGGTTGCCTTGCTTAAAAACCGCAAAATTAACCGTTCTCCTGCTTATGTCATGCGTGGTGCCATGGCACCAGTGTGTCTTTGCACTTCAGTTTGATTCATTACAATGCTCTTTTTCCTACAACGTAGGCTCGGATTAGAATTTTTTTTTAATATAAAACTATGACCTTAATTCAAAATCTAACAAAATATTTTGAACGATGACTTTAAAAATGAAATCTAAACACCGTCATAGGAAATGAGCAAAATCAACTATAACAGTGGATTTACCCAAGAACAAGCTAATAGGTCGAAAATAGCTTGCTTTTGGGTAGGTATCATATATGCTAATTTATAATGCAATTTTGATGTTTCCATCAGGTTGTGCTCCTGGTTCTTGATATTCATGCGTGCATAGCACGAGACCCCTTACATTTCCGCCAGCTTGTTGTTTTTCTGGTGCATAATTTCCGTGTTGATCATTCTCTGCTGGAGAGGTAATTCTAGGTCCCTCGAGCTTGTTGTAAATATTTTTGTTGAGTTGAGCCCTCATTCAGGCTATGCGGCCAACTTGTCTTCTAATCATGTACATGTGTCTCTTCGCTTTCTTTTGCAAATCATTCTCCTTATTCTTAGGCGTGGTGCTTTGATAATCCGTAGACTTTGTGTTCTCTTGGATTCCGAACGGGCATACTAGAGGGAGAAGCAGACCTGGATTTTGCTTGCATTATGGTTCAGGTTCTGTATTGTATTTAAGGATTAAACTAATGCAATAAGGCTTGTTTGTTGAAATAATAAAATGAAGCAGCTCCATAACATTAAAATATGATGGTCATGACATAATCAGAGTTGATATGTATTTTTTTTATAATCCTTTAGTAGAATGATATTTCCATTGTGTCTGATTTTGAATCTTTTCCTTTGTGTTTCAGGCTTTGAATTTGATTCTACTTACTTCTTCTGAGCTATCCGAGCTAAGGGAACTTTTAAAACAGTCACTTGGTAACGCTGCTGGAAAAGATTTATTTGTTTCTTTGTATGCTTCATGGTGCCATTCACACATGGCGACCATAAGTCTTTGTTTATTAGCACAGGTAAGAAATTTTAAACTCCTTTAAGGGCCAACCAATTCATCCCTCTATTTTCATGTGGTCAGCCACGCTTTGACCATCTGCTTTCATTATTGTTAATCTATTTTATTTGCTTGATAGGCATACCAGCATGCAAGTTCCGTGATTCAGTCCTTGGTTGAGGAAGATATTAATATCAAGTTCTTGGTTCAGCTTGATAAATTGATTCGCTTGCTGGAAACTCCCATCTTCAGTTATCTTAGATTGCAGGTGCCTAAATAAATGCTAACTGGGGTCACTTGTCCTTTTAATATCTTTAACATGCCTGAGTGGCAGGACTTGTGATATTGTATATGCTCTCTTATTTATAATTTGTTTGCAGCTTGCTGCACATTTTACCATGCCAAAATATATTAACTTCATTGAATTCATTAGTTGTAATTGTATTTGTACTTTTGTTGTACGTATTTTCCCCTATTTTCCTTGTTCATCTTTTAAATTTAGAATGTCTATCATGTAGCTGATCCTTTTTCTGATTTCCAGCTTCTTGAACCAGGAAGATATATATCATTGCTGAAAGCATTGTATGGTCTTTTGATGCTGCTTCCACAGGTATGCCTGTGCTACTTTCTTAGTTTCTTACTTTTCTTGGCACCCCTGCCTCGAGCCTAAAATATGGCTGTCATCAAACAGGTCAAACAGTTTCTTAGCGCATGCAACAGACTGACACAGTTGCATGAACACGTGTTGGATTTTCATTGTTAAATTATATTGACTAGTTGATTGAACTACAGCAAAGTGCTGCATTCAAGATTTTGCGGACTCGTTTGAAAACTGTGCCACCATACTCCTTCAATGGTGACCAACTCAAACAAGCATCATCAGGCAACTCATACAACCAGATTTCACAATATAGTGGATCACAAATCACGGAGGATGGTGACATCAGCCAAAATAATGAGAATTTACGTAATGGAATTAACTTTGATTCAAGGCTGCAACAGTTTGAGCAAATGCAGCGACAACACCGAATGCTTGAAAAATCAAAGGTGCGATCACTGAAAAGTTCCACTTCTTCATCAAAGGTACGTGAACTGGTTGTTGATCTTGTTCCATCATTATTTTAAAGATTTTATGATTAGAGGCTTTCCATAAGAAAAGTTGGTTCAAACTCTATGATTATCTTTATATTGCCATTGGCAGAAAAAGAAAGGTCCAGTTGGCTGGTCTTTCTTCATGATGTACATCTTTCTGTTCGGCTGTTTGCACCGTCTTTTATGGTTTCCTAGAAGAGAATCAATTTATCATCTTCCCCCTTCTCTATGCAGGAAGGGCCAGAAGCAGAAGCGTACCAGCGACCTTCAACATCAGGCTCAAACGTGCCACCTTCAACATCATCTAGAAGAAACCCGGGTTAGTTGCTAATTTGTTCACCTGTGCCAGTTCAGGGTCATTTGTACTATGATCTCATGATGGTTGAGCCAGAGGTGAGATCCAAGCTATAGTATGTAAAATTGTATATCATGGTAGTTTGTTTTCATTGAACTCATGGAGGGGGGAATGATTCCAAATTAGGTTTTGGATATAAGCTTGGAGGGGCCTTTCCGGGCTATTCTTTCCCCCCCTCCTTTGTAAACAGGATATGCCCTCGTGGTTCTGTTATTTTTTAAATTGAAATCCACATGGAATAGAGGGAGATAAATGAAATTAGAAAATGCTGTTCTTCTTTTTCCGTTTACAGTACTCATATGAACACCATGCCTTTATTCGACTCTGCAATTCGCTGTGAAAACCCCGGAAATGTGGTTGGAAAGTGAGGTAATACTTGCTTCTGTCTAATAGTTTATGATGGTTCTTTTAACTCGTTTGCTCTTAAGTTGGACATAAGTACTTATGATAGGGAAATGATGGATCACATATGTTTCAGCCGACAATGGACTTAGGTAAGACTTATGATAGGGAAATGATGGATTACATATGTTTCAGCCGATAATCGAAGGAAGACGTAATGTATAGTTTTTGTTTCATTTTAGTATATGTTAAAACTTAATGTGTTTAGTATCTAAACTATCAGTTTTGGTTTGTTTTAGTACTTGAATTTTTAATTTTTTTTCAAAACTTAACGTTAAATTTTTAACAGGGTATCAAAATGAAATAAAAATTAAACACTAGGTGTGATTTAAAAAACTAAAAGTTTTAGTACTAAAATAGATTAAAATTTATAGTTTAAATATTAAATGCGTAATTTATCTTAAATTATATTAAAATTTAAAATATTTAAGGGTGATTATCTCTACCCTCTCACAATTCATCCATGAATGGATAGACTTGTTTATATTATAATTAAATTAAGGGTAAATTATACATTTAGTACATAAATTATCATTTTTGATTCATTTTAATATTTAAATTTCTAAATTTTTAAACCCTGTCATTAAAATTTTAACCCGCTTAATACCTAAACTATTAACTTTAATATCTAGATTTTCATTTTTTTCTTTATTTAAATTTTGAATGAGATATTAAAATGAAATAAAAATTAAATTTTTTAACAGTGATTACTAATATGAAATAAAAAGTAAATTTTATGTATAGTTTTGATAAAAAATTAAAAGTTTAGATATTAAAATAAATTAAAATTGATGTTTAAATACTAAACGCATAATTTTTCCTTAAAATAATTTAGAACTTTTCTTTTGTATATCATAATTTTTCTATTTCTCCTAACAAATTATTGCATATTTTTTGTAGAGATAATGGTGGATTCTTTTATTATAATATATATAACATTAAAAAGTAATCAGTGACAAACAGGAAATTCAAGTATTCAACCACCCAACAAGATGCTTCCAAGTTGTTTTTTCTCCACAAATTTTGTGATGCAATCACCGCCTGAATTCTCTCTGTGTAGCAAACCCAATAACATTCCTTCCCACTGTTTATAGCAATCGATCAATGATTATTTGCAGTAACAACGAATCTCCCAGTTTTCCTTTCGTCTCCTAATTCCATATACGATCCGATTTCCCTTTTTTGTTCCATTTTTTGAGTGTTTTGATCACGAGGAGGTTCCAAGCTTAATGGGATTTGGGTCGATTTTCAATCGGAAGAAGAAGCGAGGTTCCACGAATTCAGCTGCTTCTTCACCGGATGTTCCATCGAAGAAATCGTTGTTCATCCAATTCCCGATGCGATCCTCCTTGGGAAATTTCGCCCAGACCCAACTCCAAGAAATCGAAGGAGTGTTCAAAACGTTGGACGCCAACGGCGACGGCAAGATCTCGGCGTTGGAGCTCGGTTCCATCTTGAGATCACTCGGCCAACGGCCCTCCGACGAGGAACTCGACGAGATGATCAAGGAATTCGACGCCGACGGCGATGGGTTCATCGATTTCAACGAGTTCATCGAGCTGAACACCAGAGGGATCGACCACGAAGAGGTTCTGGAGAACCTGAAGGACGCTTTCTCGGTGTACGACATCGACGGGGACGGTTCGATTTCAGCCGAGGAACTCCACGAGGTGCTCCAAAGCCTCGGGGATGAGTGCTCGATCGCCGAGTGTAGGAAGATGATAAGCGGCGTGGATAATGACGGGAATGGGATGATTGATTTCGAGGAGTTCAAGGTGATGATGATGGCTGGGGCCACTTTTGGCTCCATTGAATCCGATAAGAGAAAGGTTGCCGTCTAAATCAATTCATCATTGGTTTTTCCCTCTGGTAATTTTCCTGGAATTCTCTGATTAACAGATTACAAGCAGCAGCTTGCTTATTACTTGTTATGATCTTAATAGAGATTGTGTATATTTTGAACTCTATGGAGTTTAATGAACATTATACGGTAAATTCATTTTTGCCCAGAAATTTTCTGTTTATGCATATTGTAGATTCGATTCAACTACGAAAAGCTCGCCGATGGAACTCATAGTGATATCCCAATGATTGTTCCTCTAATTGATTAATGGTAGCTTCAATCATATACCTTGTATATGGTACATTCTAATCTCCAGGTTTCATTTCAAGTAAAATGTTTTCTGATCAGATAAAAATTATCGATTGACTAATGATCAACTCTTATTGTTGATACAACAAATTTTACGTGTCCAATATGGTGACATGATATATCGCATCATTTATATAATCTACTTTTTGTTAAATAGGTCAGAGATGATTACAATGCATTATCAGTTCAAAATCTTTATTATTCATTAATAAAGACTAAAAAAATAGTCATTAACAACACACTAACACCTTAAAACCTATAATCAAACAAGGGTGGATCGACTAAGGATTTAGGATAGGCATCCTGAAATCTATTTTTTTGTTGTATAATCACATATTTTAATGGTTGTAACCACCTGAAATTTTAGTTATACCTATATGATTAATGTTATACCTATATGATTAATGTGTATATATATATATATATATATATATATATATATGTGTGTGTGTCTATATGAAGTTTGTGTTATAGGAGACCAATACTTGTTTAAGGCTAAGTTCTTGTCCTGTGTAGGGGTGTAAACAAGCCAAATAGAACTCGAATATTGCCGAGCTCAATTCAAACTCAAAAACTTTAAATGTAAACTCGACTCAATTCAAAAACTCGCAAATCTAAAATTTTCAAACTCGACTCAAACTCGAAAGAAAATATTAAAACTCAACTCGAACTCAAAAAAACTCAAACTCAAAAAAAAATTCAAGAACTCGACCCAGCTCAAAACTCAAGCTCAATTCAAGCTTGATTCAAACTCAAGTGCTCACCACTTGGCTCCGTAAATTAAATCATTGAGTTTGAGCTTTAATTTATAGGATCACTTGTGGAGCACTTGCTTCTATCTTAAAGATGTGGGATATAAGGCCACATGTTGTGTGTGGGATATACAGTCAGAACTTCACCCTCTTCCCCGTGCTCTTCACCCTCTCAACACCTTGTTCATCGGAGACTGCTAAACAAGCTTCATTGAAGCCTCCAACACAGCAACATTAACATCATCATCATCAAGATCAAGGGATACCACCATCAAGATTGGTGGCACCAAACGGAGAAGACCGTGCCAACTACTTCTCCTGTAAAAACAGTAGCAACTTCTTTCTTGGCAATTGGCATCTTCTCCAGCAGCGAAGCCAGTGGTTACTAATACCACAGAGAAAGTTTCACCTGCCAAGACACCTCCAACTGCAACATCAGTGGCAAGTTTCCCAACCCAAACGCCTACCTCCTCTGTGACCATCACCACCCGTATGCCTAACCCTAAATCATCAATGACCAATCTGACAACTGGCAGACCACCTTCTCCTTTTGCTCTCCCACCTTTCCAGTTGAAAGCTCAAGCTGAGACTGATCCCAAGAAGATTCAATCTGAGACGGAGCAAAAGACGATCGACAAGCCCAAGGGATGGCTATTTGGAGGCACTCGCAAAGCAGCATCCAAGGGAAGTGAGGCAAAGGGCAACAAGTATTCTTCTGACTCCGAGGATGCAGGAATGAGGATCATAACAATTACCGGTGATAATCAAGGCGCTTTCATGGAGATAAACCAACCATCTCACCATAAAATTGGGTTTCAGGGAACTCTATTTCGCCTCGAAAACATTTATATGCATGTTTAATAAATTTATAGTTTGGTATGTTATATTTTAATTTTTGTATTTCAATCACATTTGTTTAAATTTTCTTATTTGTTTTAAATGTTCAGGTGTCATTTATGTTATTTTCCATATTATTTTAGCTTAAACCGAATAGGATTAATTGCATAAAAGACCCTATAGTTTATATGCATTTTGTATTTAAGTCATTGGTTTAATTCCAATTTTGTAAGTTTAATTTTACATTTACGTGAATTTAATCATCATTCTAAAGTTAGTATATTTAGCTTAAATTAGTCCTCACATTTAGATTTCTCTTAATTTAGTCCCTGTTTAGGATTGTTTTCTTTAATTAGTTGTGTATATTTATTTTGCATGTTGATATGTTTATGTATAAGTATGCGATTGATTTATTTAGGAGTCACATAATATCATTTTGCATAATTTGTATGTTACATTCATGTGCATAACTTAACCCCTATCACGTAATCAGATTTAGGTTTTAGGATTTAGGGTTTAGGGTTTAGGATTTATTGCAAAGATATTAATTAATCGACTTGGTATCGATTTATGAGGTAAGTACAATTTAGGGTTTATGATTTATGATTAAGGGTTTAGGGTTTAAAGTTCATTGCAATGACATTAATTAAAATTTGAGGTAGTTGTATTATAGAATTTTTAATATATTTTTAAAATTTTATAATTATCAATAGTGTATTTTTAATATATTTTTAATAATGTAATTTTAAAAAATCTAAAATTATAATATAACATTTTTCGAGCTGCTCACAGGCTTTTCGAGTCGAATATCGAGTAGCTCGTTTAGGCTTGTTAAGTACTCGAGTCGAGCTCGAGCTCGAGTCGAGTCCATTCGATTCGAGTATTTATCGAGTCTTGATCGAGTCGATCTCGAGTAGCTCACGATCTGTCTCGCCTCATTTACAACCCTAGTTGTGTGGAAACTACAGTTCGCTGGTTGTTTGCCACTTTTCCTGTTTTTTTTAATCCATGAGCAGATATAGACGTATGATTTTACGTTAGAAGAGTAAATTTGAACTTATAAAATTCAAGAGAAAAGAACTTAAACTTAAAAAATTTTAAGAAACGAAAATAGATTTTTAATAAAAATACATAAAATATCTAAAATATATAATAATTTTAAATTTTAAATAGAACAACCGCCCCTGACTCTCCCGCCTGGTCCATACCCGTCTATGCTATCACCCCCACACACCCATATGGACATATAGCCATACAAATTTTACATATGATCTCGTGCTGCTTCAAGTATTTTTTAACTTTCCACGTCTACGGAAAATTCTGGTGTTTTAAAATTATATATAGGGTAAATTACACTAATTACCATTCAACTTTAAGATTTATATTAATTTCATCAATGAACTTTAAATTAGTTGAATTGTACAATTAAACTTGATTTTGACTTCAATTATAACATTAAAATCGTTAACTCGTTAATAAACAAATGATATGATAGTTTGGTGCTTACGTGAAAGTTTAAAACTTAATTTTTAACTCTTAACTCATATTCTTCATCAAAACTATGATTTTTTTTACCTACTTTTAGTTATCGTTAAAAATCATCATTCTCTGACGTATTTTGTGATCACTCTAGAAATTGGTAAACTCATCTCGTCGTCTTTTATCATTTTGATTTTTTTAAAATTTCTTTAAGGTCGATGAGCTTAAATACAAAAAGTCCATCATTTTTGGGTTTGGGTTCTTTATTGGATTTAAGTGATTTGGGATGTTTGATAAAAAATTAAACGGTGACCTTATTTTGAGAAAACAAACTACATACCTCAAAAATTAATATCATTAGACGATCATTCAAAGAGATTGAAGTATTAGCCTGTCGAAGTTGTATATGTATTTTCGTCGATTTGAGTGGATTTTGTGAAAAACCAATTCAAAAAGAAAATAAGTGAAATAAGAACACTCTGATACTGATATAGTCACGAATGACGACCAGTGATGAACGACGATTAATCACTAACGGTGGCCAGAAAATTCAATACCTAAAAATAAAATGTTTTAGAATTTAGTGATACAAATAATATAGAAACTAAAATTAATGGAAAAGAAAATGGTCATATCGTCATATTATTAATGATTAACGATCCAATGTTATAACTAAAATCAAAATCAAAATTTAGTCATAATGCAATAAAATAATCATAACGTTTGATAGTAGTGTCAAACTTGCCAGTATTATTTTTTTGAAACATTTGACCATTGAACGTTTAGGTCAAAAATCACCCTTGATGGATGGAAACCGTGAGTCAGTCAACTGATGGTCAATGTCAGATATTGACGGAGCAAGCACACATTGACGTGAAAGTTGACGTGACATTTCCATGTCGGATATCATGATGATGTGACATTGTCATGTTAGAATTTTTAAAAATAAAATAAATAATTTTATGATTAATATTATTTATATTTAATTATTTATAACCAATCAGAGAGTGACACGAACCTAGGCAAAGGCTATGGAATAGCATTACATTTATCGATGCTGACGGAGTAAGCACACATGGACGTGGTATTTTCATGTTGAAGATCATGATGATGTGGTACTGTCACGTCCGAATTTTTAAAAATAAAATAAATAATTTTATGATTAATATTATATATATTTAATTATTTATGACAAATCAAAGGGTGACACGAACCTGGATAAAGGATATGGAATAGCATAACTTTTACCACTAGACCAAACTCCTTATTTGATTAAATAATGAACTAAATGATATTTAATAGATTTCACCGCCCCCGTCACACAAAATCACGTTAAAAACCAATGGCTCGTGTTGGTAATAGAGATTACCAACATTCGACTCACTTTTTAGGTTTATCATATGAAGGAAAATGATAGTTAGAAACTTTGCTATGATTAACTAACAGTATGGTGCAATCCTCCATATCTGGTTATCTCCCTTGTTCCATTGCCACAACACAATGGTAGTACCATTGTGGATGCCACCGGATTTCTTATCACCATGGAAATCATCTAAATTCAGGCGAATGTTATTAATCATTCTTATAGCTCTGTAGCCATCATGGACTTCCTTTCTCTCGCTCCATAGTACGGACTCGTCAAGATTTGGCTTGTAAGGTACCAGTTGGACCTGCAGGAAAAACCCCATTTTATGCAAAACTTCAGGGTTGATAAATTCAAAATGTTCTGTTATGTTTTGACCATCTGAAATGAAATAAAAAATCAAGATGCACAAACAAATTCTTTCCACTGCCGGAATCAAGAAAGAAAGGGCCCAATAGAGTGTTTAATGACTTGACCAGTGGCCTTATTAGCCAGACAAAAACTGGGGAAACTCACTTCATCTTTCACCCTTGTGCTGAGCTTCTCATCTTTGTACCAGTGCTAAAACAACAACAAAAATCAACATCCAGATCAAAATAAGATCAATGCTTTGCCCTAATCTTGAGTTTCAACAGTCAAAGGGGGCTTTTGGGTTGTCAATTAATGAGTTTAATCAAGTTATACGGCTTTGAGCTACAGGGAAAACTTATAATAAACCAAGTTGATAATTTTGTAGATCAATCCATAAAAATTAAGTTAAAGAAAATTGTGAATCTGCTGATACAATACCTGGAATTCATCAGAGGGATCAGATGGAGCAAAAACAACTTTTCCATCTCCGATCGTAAATGATAACTTGGACCAGCTTTGCAATAGACTTTAACAGTAGGTTTGTTGTGGAATTCGGGTGGCAAACGAGATCCAAAAGGATGATGATGATCAATTCTTCCGTGGCCACTTTCATGGGCAGCATGTGTAAAAGATGGTGGTGTTGGTGTAGAGTAGTTCAATGAACTATGCTCAGGCTGGTCGTGGACACGAGTCCCATGGGTTGGTGGTTGGTGCGGCGGGGGTGACGGAAAGCCCGGTTGCTAAAAGTATGGTTGTGTTGGTCCATCAAAAGCAGGCTGCTGGAAGTATGATGGTGGTGGTGGTGGTGGTGGTGGATATGGTCCGTCAAAGGCGGGTGGTGGCGGGTAGTGCTGAGACAGCGGAGGAAACTCATGGTGATGGAGATGTGGCGGTGGTGGTCTTTCTCGGTTGTCTTCATCATCGTTCCCATGGTGACGAGTTTGAGAGTGATTGTGACCGAAAGGGAACTCTATTTCTTCGATCTGATCGACTTTCTGAAATCGTACTTCCTTCTTATCTTTTGTTTAGTTGTGTTCAACAGTTTGGCCACTTAACTATATCAAACTAAACAATAGGGAAAAATTTAGTTAATTATTTATGACATCTTGTCATAAATAATTAAATTTAAATAATATTAATCATAAAATTATTTATTTTATTTTTAAAAATTCTAATGTGGTAGTGTCACGTCATCATATCTCTAAACATACCACGTCAGCTTTCACGTCCATATGTGCTTGCTCCGTCAACTTCTAACGTTGACCGTCAGTTCACTGACGGTTTCCATCTATCAAGGGTAATTTTTGACCCAAATTTCAACGTTCAGTGGTCAAATGTTCCAAAAAAGAACAATACAGACAAGTTTGATACTACTGTCAAACATTATGATTATTTTGTTGCATTATACCTTTTAATTTTATATTTACACAATTAATTAATAAATACGACATGCAACACATGCGTACCAAGTTTATTTAATATAATTAATTTTACGTGCACAATACACAAAAAAACAAGTTTTTCTAATCTAAATAGGATAATTGAGAGGTGAAATTAGAGTCCAACTTGGATTTAAAAGGTGATATATATATATATATATATACCCACATAACTCGCCATTCTCATTCGATTCAGTGTTTCAGAAACCCTAAATATTTCTTTCATCTGCTTCTTCGCCTTTACGTTAACAATGGATCAGTCCAAGCCAAGAGGACCATTTTGTATTAGTCCGAACCTGGAATTTGTCAAAGTGAAGAGCATTGGCGAGGTTGTAGACTTGGTGAAGACGGTAAAGGGTGTTCCTAGGTTGCTTGCGGTTAAATCTTCGCTGTCACCGAGTTCTTCGCTTCGAAAGGAATACCGGATCCTTCAAGAGTTTATCGGTTGCCCTAGTATCGTTCAATGCCACGGTGATCAGTTTTTGAGCATCGATGAACTGGAGGTTGAATATGACAACGTGAATCTCGAGTATGCCTCCGGTGGGAGCCTTCTGGATTTGATCGGTAAATACGGCGGTAGAATACCGGAATCCGATGTTCGACGTTACACGAAGATGATACTCGAAGGGCTTTACTATGTTCATCAGAAAGGTTACGTGCATTGTGATATCAAACCAGAAAACATTCTTGTTTATCCATTGGACGAATCTGGTTCTCGTTTAACTTTGAAGTTGGCTGATTTCGGCTCGGCCAAGGAGCCCGGCGAACAAGACCCGAAGCCGGGTCGGGGTTGTGTTCGGGGTACCGCTCCTTACATGTCGCCGGAATCTGTGAAGCATGGAGAAATCAGTGCTTCTTTGGACGTATGGTCATTAGGGTGCGTTGTTAGGGAGATGATTTTCGGATTACATCCGAAAGACTCGGCAACGACAAGTGGTTGCTCGAGGGATGTACCCCGAGTTATGTCGGTGGCCGGGACGGATTTCTTGAACAAGTGCTTTGATTTGGATCCTAAACGACGTTGGACTGTTGATAAGCTGATAGGGCATCCTTTTTGTTTTTAGCTGATGAGTCTCCATTGTTGTATTTTCTTTCATTTTAGATTATTTTTGTACATCTAAATTTGAATTTATCTCATATATATATAAAAGAACTTTATCAATATATAGAATTTATCTCATATATATATATGTATTTATAAAAGAATCAATTTATAAAAGAACTTTATCAATATATAGAAGTTTTGTGGCGTTTTGTCCCAAAAACGTCGCTAAATGTTATGACATATAGCGGCGTTTGTGAATGTAAAACGCCGCTATTGACTAGGTATATAATGGCGTTTTTGGTATAAACGCTGCAAAAGATCTAGAACTTTAGTGGCGTTTTTCAAAAATATCATTATTGAATATGTATTTAATGGCGCTTTTTTATACAAACGCCGATAGTTAAAACTACTTTTTCAAATCTTGTTTTCTACTCTTTTGTTACCCAAATTTAAAATTTTAACCTGTAACATTATCCAATAAACTTAACATCCATAATAACAAATTTGAAATACATAACAAGAAACTTGAAATCCATAATAATAAATCAAAGTTCATATTAACATAAAATATAATATAGTTAAACATTGTTAACTAGAATAAACAATAATAACACCTAAGCTGGTGGACTTTGAGGCATCATCCAATTCAGATGCAACTGAAGATGATGCTAGGCCTGAGCTATTCTTTACTCTTTTTTTTTGAAAGAGGGTACTTTGTATTAAGAATAACAAAATACACCACCTCAAGGATCTCATTAAAAAACCTCCCTAATCCTAAATGGAGGAAAAAGAGTATACCTTAAAGTGGTAATGAACAAAATACACATAAAACTCTACATGATACAAGCCGTACCCCGGCCTACCCCAAACCCCAAACCGACACATAATAACTAACACATACAACCCGACAATATGAATATAAAACACACTAATCATCAAACACAAACAGCAAGCCATTGGTAAAAATCTAAGAGCACTAACAAACCCCACTAAACTAAACTTGGGACGAACCATTAAAAAAAGCATTGATTTTTGCTAAAAGATGGAGCACCACCCTTGACTCCCACGTTATCACCACCACGAAACGTTGCCCACGCTTCAATAATTCTAGCTCTGTTTGGACAGCAACGAAACTCCTGATCAGGCTGCTGGGATTGAGCCAATTCCACCAAGCAAGATTTTACGAAAATTCCTCGCTCACTGCTCTATTTAACGCTAGATTCCCACCACGTGCATCATCGCCCTTGATTTTATGACCAGCAAAATCAAAGATTGGAATAACGAGCATATTCACAATCAACATCAACCCTCCTTTCCACTAGCCCCATACTAGTTGTCTCCAATTCAAAACGATAACGCTCCTCTGGCAGAACGCTATCAATACACTCCAAGAAAGAAGGGCTGAGGACCTCGCTCAAACTCGACCAAAAACTTACTTGCAGAACTTCCACAGGAAACAACTCCCAAATCACAAATCTGCCAATGATCTCAGACTAGGACAAAAACGGCCCATCAATGACACTATGGGCACGTTAAATAAACTATTACCAACAGCCACCTCCATCCCCACAACAAGAACTGCATGCAGAATCCAGGTTTTCAGGGCATCTTCTTCACTTTTCCTTTTAGAGATTCATTGAAACTATCAAACTTGAGCACGAAACCAGCATAAGCAGCAGAACCCCCCTGATTCGCCGCTCCACCACCGGCCGAAAAGCCAACAATGAACACACAATGCACTACAGAAACTACAGGAAAGGCCAATGGACATCACCTAAAAATCACACTAGAGAATATAATCCTAGCCAAGCTCACACATTCTAACACGACAAATCACCAAAGCACAAGAAAAGCTAAAGAAGACCCGGCTGAAATTCTTTATGAGCAGCTGAACGATATGAACACATCAGACTCTTCTCCATACAATTGAAAACATCCTTAAGATGATTTCTGTTACCAACGCCATTGACAAAAACGAGCCAACACTTAGGAACCGAAGAAGGACATACAACAAATCAATTTCTTCCTGACGCTCACACCAAGGATTTAGACATACAGAAATTATATAAGAAAGAAAAGAAGCAAAGTTGGACAACCCATACAATATGATAAACCAACAACAGAACCAAGCCTTAATCTTCTTCAGCAAACACAACAACCCTAATTTCGAGCTTAAATCCAAAAAACCCATAAGATACTAATAACCCCCTCACTCAAAACAAGCTAAACCCCATGGTCTACCAACAACACAGAAATAAATCAGCAAAAAGGTAAGCTATTGAAAATTCAATATTAGCTTAAATAAGTTCACACCTAAATTAATTTGATGTCATTGCTTACATCAATTTAGTTTTGATGTCATTGCTTACATCAATTTAGTTTGGTGAAAATTAAGTATTTTTCTCATGTTTTAATTTCAATGGTTTAGATTATTTAGTGCTTATTTTAATGAGTGGTTTAGATTGTTTCTTGTAACCTATAAATACTCTACTTGTATTTGAGTTTTATCATCCAACAATCAAAGCTTAATTATAAGCATTTGAAAGCTTTCTTAAGAGTTCTTCCCTTTTGCAATTTTGTGAGATTATTCTAAAGAGTTTTTTCTTCTTCTCGATCAATTAGAGTTTTTACTCTATTTTGATTCAACAATTGGTATCAGAGCCACGTTTTTAAGGTTTCTTGAAATTTTGAGTATGCTCTGTGGCTGCAGTTTTTAACTGATCTTCCACATCAGAAAATATTTCTTGAGTTATTGTCGGGGTTATTACAAACCTTGTGGAGCTTCTTTGTGTTTAGAGTAATTTAGTACTCTGCACGTTTGTTACTCAAGCTTGTTCGGTGTAGTCAAAGCCTTACCGTTAAGATGTGTGATCTTCAAGTAGTTGGAGGGATCAAGAAGCTCAACAACAAAAACTACAACACGTGGGCAACATGTATGGAGTCATACTTATAAGGTCAAGACCTTTGGGAGGTTATCGGTGGTGGTGAAGTTACACAACCGGCGACAGAAGATGCCAATGGAATCTTGCGAAAGTGGAAAATTAAAGCAGGTAAAGCAATGTTTGCTTTAAAGACCACAATTGAAGAAGAAATATTGGAGCACATTCGGGATGCTAAAACACCAAAAAAAGTATGTGACACTTTTTTTACACTCTTTTCGAAGAGGAACGATAAAAAATTGCAACTTCTCGAGAATGAACTTCTATCAATGGCGCAACACGACATGGCGGTTGCCCAATACTTTCACAAGGTGAAGTCGATATGTCGCGAAATTTCAGAATTAGATCCAATAGCTGCTATTGGGGAAGCCAGGATAAAAAGAATAATTGTCCATAGTTTGAGACCTGAATATCGAGGGTTTGTTACCGCTGTACAGGGATGGCCGACGCATCCATCGCTTTTTGAGTTCGAAAATTTGCTTACAAGTCAAGAAGCCATGGCCAAGCAAATGGGATGAGTCTCGCTGAAGGGTGAAGAGGAAGCGCTCTACACCAGCAAAAGCAGATGCACTTTTCAGCGATATACTGGCAGTGGATCTAAAAAGGATGGTGACAAGGTGAAAAATTACCAAGGAAATGAAGGCCCTCATTCAGGGGGGGCATCCAAAAATCGCGGTAATAGTAGAAAGTTCGATGGCAAGTGTTATAACTGCGGGAAGATGGGTCATATGGCAAAAGACTGTTGGACTAAGAAAAAGCCTGTTGAAAGTAATACTGCTACTTCTTGTTCGAAGGAGAATAGTGAAGATGGTTGGGATGCTGAAGTGTTATTTGCTACGGAGGAAGAAGAATTAGCTCTCACAGTAACAACACCAGAACGGATTGACTACAAGAATGATTGGATCGTAGACTCTGGCTGCTCAAATCATATGACGGGTGACAAACAGAAGTTGTAAAACCTGTCTGAGTATAATGGAGGTCGTGTGGTGGTGACAGCTGACAACTCAAGGTTACCGATAACTCACATCGATAAGACAATAGTTACGCCTCGATATAATACTAACCAGGTGCAACTCCAAGATGTTTACCATGTCCCAGGAATGAAGAAAAATTTGCTATTTGTGGCTCAACTAACATCATCAGGCCATCATGTCTTATTTGGTCCCCAAGACGTTAAAGTTTATCGTGACGTCAAAATCTCAGAAACACCAACAATGGAGGTACGACGTTTGGAATCAATTTACGTGATGTCAGCAGAGTCTGCATATGTAGACAGGACAAGGAAAAATGAGACATCAGATCTATGGCACATGCGGTTAGGTCACGTTAGCTATTCCAAGCTAAGTGTGATGGTGAAAAAGTCGATGCTTAAGGGGCTTCCTCAACTAGACGTGAGAACAGACACGGTCTGTGTGGGATGCCAATATGGTAAAGCACACCAATTACCATATGACGAGTCGAAGTTTAAAGCAAAAGAACCGTTGGAGTTGGTTCACTCTGATGTGTTCGGACCGGTTAAGCAACAATCAATTAGCGGTATGCGGTACATGGTAACATTCATTGATGACTTTTTCAGGTATGTGTGGGTTTTCTTTATGAAAGAAAAATCTGATATTTTCTCAAAGTTTAAAGAGTTCAGAGACTCAGCTGAAGGAGAAGTGGGAAAGAAGATATGTTGCTTGCGCATAGACAATGGAGGAGATATAGATCAAACGAGTTCTCTCAATACCTAAGGGAATGGCGAATACGTCATCAGTACACTTGTGCCAACACGCCACAACAGAATGGTGTAGCGGAAAGAAAAAACAGGCATCTTGCAGAAATTTGTCGAAGTATGCTACATGCAAAGAATGTACCTGGAAGGTTTTGGGCTGAAGCAATGAGGACTGTAGCCTTTGTGATCAATAGACTTCCTCAACCAAGGTTAGGATTTGTTTCACCATTTGAGAAACTATGGAACATAAAACCTACAATTAGCTACTTTCGAGTATTTGGCTGTGTATGTTATGTGTTTGTTCCTGATCATTTACGAAGCAAATTTGACATGAAAGTTGTTAAATGTATCTTTGTGGGATATGAA